CCCCCGTTCTTTCCCTCCGAAATATAACTGATCACGCGATGATAAATCGATCGCGCTGGTCACACGGGCAGCAGCGCGCGGGCCGCGAGCCGCGGACCGACACTCCCGCTGCTGACCTCTGACCCGCCCTCCTGCCCCGCCGTATGCTGCGCCGCGCTTCTGCGACTGCTTCATATGTTTTCGGCTCCAGAGTGTCTGTAACTCGTACATCTCGAGTTCGTTTGATGTGACTGCGACGGATCTAGCTAGCAGCAAGGCTGTGGCTGCGGCTGCTGTTGCGGCGTGTGTAGCCATTACCCACCATATAACTACACCCCCCCCATGAACACCGAAGGGCTACACGGGTTTCGGAATAATATGGAAATCAACCGCCCAGCATCCGTAGGATACCTTTTCAGGTTTGCCAAACCAGGACCTGTACCTATAGTGTCCATAAGGCATGATTGGAATATTTGGACAAGTCCAGTTTGCTGGCGCCTTATTTACCTCGTAGACTCCCTGTAAGTGGGATTAATTTTTTTTTGTTTCAAGCCGCAAAAGTATCCACACAAATTAGCAGGAAAATAGGCAAAGTCAAGGTTCCTAAATCCGGACGGATCTAAATAGGAAAAATGTTTAGAAGAACCTCTCGCATTTTCGTTGTATGAAAAATCAGTTCGGATTTTAGAATTTGCCTGTGAAGCCTCAACCAACCACCATCCGATTTTTTTGTTTTGCTTAGTGGTCCACGGGTCCGGTCAGGCCTCAAGGCCGTATTCACGATCAAAAGTGCACAAAGTCGGACAAGTTGCCCTAACTCCAGACAGGGAGAATTTTTATTCCTAGTAAATTTCAGGCAAAACGCCAGTCTTTTTATACAGGGCGAGGCCGGGCAGGAACCCTGACTTTTCGTAACACTATGGCGAGAGTATAGACTTGCTGTCAAAGTACTTACAGGTTTCACCATGCAATGCGCGCCTTTGATGACTTCTCCCTGCTTGAAAACTTCATTGTATATTTCAGGAATATTTTCTTTCAAAGCTCGACATGCATTGTCTTTGAAGTAAAAGACAAAGGCGTTTTCCTTCCATTGGTTATTTGACCGAACATCAATAACTATCTTTAGCTATTATTATAAAGATGTGGAAGTTAGAGTGTGTACAGTTGCTCAACACAAATGAAAGAGGACATGTTTTTTTATGTTTTGACTAACATGCAAACCTTTGTGTGAGCCACTTTGACCTCCTTTTTTATGTGTTTGAATGTCACAGTGCTATCACTTGTCCATATTGCGAAGCTCGCGCGGCGCTCCGGTGCTAGCGAAACCACGCACCTCTGCCGGTCCTCCGTCAAAGCACGCACAACGCGGGGGTGCTGTCGACACCACGCATCTCCATTTTTGAGTAGCTTGTGTGACCTACCGTTGGAAAGAGAGCGGTGGAAGGGGGGCTCTTATCGCACTTCGGCTCGGACACCCCCGTTGGGAAACAACTCTGGCGGAGCCGGCCGCCAGCCGCCATGGGCCTCTGCCGTGCCGGCCGGCCGGCCTCGAGAGCGGAGCATAGCGGGGCGGACCCAGAAGAAGGCAGCCAGCCGGGCTGACAAAGGAGGAGCGGGTTATCGGGGGTCAGACTGCTATCGTAGCGCTCTCCTATAATGCGCACACACGCTAACACACACAAACACACACACACACACTGTCACCCCCCCCCCCCCCCCGCCCCCCCCCCCCCCCCAGCCCCCCTCTCTCTCACTCTTTCTCTCTGTCTCCCTCTCTCTCTCCCACACACACATACACACGTGTGCGCTACTCGCCGCGCTCCTCGGTGTCACGCCTGTCCCCTGTCCCCTCTGGTGTCCTGCTGGTCGGCCTGCTGCTTCGACTCTTTTCCATCGTTGCAGATATTTCGGTTCGGACTTTGCACATTTGGTTCACATTCTTATTTTGCGTGGCAGACCGACAGTGAGTGGGATATATGCCACCACCGGCCGACGATAAGGAATGTAAAGGCGTTATCTGCTGTGTGGTATTCATTGTTCGATGGCTGTG